TTTCCTAGCCTAAGGCCAGTGTTAGTGATCTTGTTAGCTTAGTCCACTGTCCCCATTGCTGGTGTATCAGCCTCTCCTGCTCCTTCCCATGAACACAGGGGCCCTGGCATGCCCCAGCCAATGCAGGCCTCACATGGCTTAGTATGTAGCACTTAAGTAAGTGCTTTTGTTAAACTTTGAAATCCTGAAACACTAGAACTGGATTAGCTCAGCTAAACCCCTTATTGTGAAACTGGAGAAATTGAGGTTCTGAGAGGGGCGGGGACTTGTCGGAAGATGGGAATAGTCATCCAGAGCAGGGACTAAGACTTGAGCTCCTGATTGTCCTCTGGGACCGTCTCATTACCACACCCTGTCACCCTGAAGGAGGTGAGGGTGGTGGTTCAGTGCTCGCTTGGGGGACCTCCTTCCACTGTGGAGCCCAGGAGAGACGCAAGCACCCACTGAGTGTGCATCTGTCCTGGTGCCTGTGATCTCTTGTCCTCACAGCAGCCTTTCTGAGGAAATAGACTAAGAAAGAGGATGTCACTTTCCAAAGTCAACCAGTTTATCAGGTGACTCCTGTTCCCTGGCATTCCTTCATCATGAGGGCCAACTCTAATCAGTGGGTAGAGACTTCCCAGAGTACCACATTGAGAATACTAAGGTCCTGTGCAGATTCCCCAGGAAGTGATGTAGCATTTGATTAATTATGTTTGCAGAAGATATGGGCATCACTCAACTGAAAAGGTACCTACCTCTTGGGGTCTTTTACAGTGTTCTTTTTCTCAGTCTGCCCTTCACAACCATTCTCTCTGAGGCTGACTAGACCAGCATTGCCACCCCAGTTCACAGTTGATGTCCAGGGAGATACCAGGAGTTACCTGGTTTTTGCTGCTAGCTGGTATCCAGCCTCCCAGCTCTCTGTGAAGGCCTGTCCTCTCCACCAAGCTAAGTCTGTTTTTGTCAAGAGAAATTCATACCATTCATCCCTTCCTGGTTCCAGCACCCTCTTAAGAAATAGTGTCTGGGAGGTGTTGACACCTTTAATACATGTTTGTTCAAGAAGGGAAAAGAGAGTGTTGGGGTGAGGCCTACTTATTGATCCCCACCCTACTGTTCCTTCTATAAAGGAAGGCAGGGCAGCCCACACTGCACCCCACCCTGTCGGGTGCCTCCCTGCCTTACCACTTTGCCTCATCTCCATGGCAGTCCTGTGAAGTGGCTGCTAAACTCTCCATTTTACAGATGAGGAGACTGAGGTTCAGAGACTGTGGCTAGCCACAGAGAAAGCAGACATAGCCAGGAGGCCATCCTGCCCTAAGCCTTCCTCACTCAATGCGTTTCTTACTAAAAGGGGAAATTGGGGGCCGTGGGGGGGGGGGATAAAGACATAGTTAAATTACTCAGAGTCCTATCATTAGAGAAAAACCACTTCATGTTGATTTTTCTGAGATTTTTTTTTCTAAAATTAGGATTTGGTTAGGCTTTCTATTTTTAATGCATAGCTATAATTTTCTTAGACATGTCATTTTTTCTGATAAGGTCGCTTGGCATTATGACGTCGGCCCCTCCATGAGGTTGCAACGTGACTTTTGATGCTCTGAGATCCTTAGCAGAGTTCGACAGCCATTTTGAAAGAGCCAGGAAGCCTGGGCCTGGAGTCAGGAAGCCAGAGCCTGAGCACCAGCCGGCCACCACCTCCCTGGGGGCCCAGGACAAGTCACTACACAGTCTCTGAGCTGCAGCTTCCTCAGTGCTAAAGCCGGACTGCGGGTATGCGAGACTGCGAGACTGCGTGCCCTGCTCTGCAGCCTGACACTCAGAGCAGCGAATGAACAAAGGCCTTTTGTAACTGAAGGCCTATGACAGCCACTGCACTTCTTTTAGTCTCCCCTCAGCCTCCTCCTGGGAGTGGTCTGCTCCCTGGATTCCTGAGCCTTTTCGCTAAGGGCCCTAGGGTAACAGCCCAGCCTCGCTGGGGCTCTCACACAATGGCCTGGGAGAGCAGTGCCCCCCTGTTAGGACCCCGGAGGGGACATGGTGTCTCAAAAAGCGCTAGCCGCACTCCTGCCCTTGGCCACCTCTGGGCCCAAAGTTGGGAGGTCGCTTCCACATTTTTCCTTTTTCTCCCAACAGCCTGACATCCACGAGAGGTCTCTGGGCTCTGCTGTGATTTCAGGAACCCCCCCCTGGAACCCCTGAATATTAAGCTCCACATCACCAGCCCCAGGCTGCTGGGACTTGACCCCTCGGCTCTGGGCACTGAGCTCTGTGTTTCCCCGCCACCTGTGTTCCCACTTAAACCAAGCCAATTAGGGGTAAAGCCTGGAGTTCAGTTACTAGCTCTGCTACCTTTCTTTCCTAGGCTTCTGTTTGCTGCACTCCAATATGGGCCTAAGACTGCCATGGAGTGACAGAGTGAACAGGTGTCCAGTGCTGGCACAGGGTGAGGACTGGCATGGTGTCACCGCCATCACTGTCCAATAACATCTAGGCCTGGCACGGAGCAGGGGTCCAGGCAGGTGCGCCCTGTGCAGGAGTGGGCAAGCGCTGTGTCCACGGTGCTCGGGGCATCACAAGCGTGGAACCAGGTGGGCCTTCACCATTGCCTCTGCTCTCTTCCCATCAGCCGTCACGACCACCTCTCGGTCCCAGTTACACTGTGTGATGCCCACCCACGCCTGCACAACTCTCCGCTGTCTGCATTGCCTTTCAGTAAGAGTTGAACGTGTGTGAGGAAGACAGATGGAAATTACTGCCTGTGAGACAGAGAACAGGGCTGAGGCCTGAGATGGACACCACTCAGGCTGTCGTTATATAAGCCGGAGCTGGTGAGGGGACTATTTGACATTTAATAGGCACGTTGTATAATCACCTTTGGGAGCCAAGGGTAACCTGGGAGCCTGTGTGTATGTGTGTGTGTGTGGTGTTTGTTTAAACCCCGGGAAGGGTGGGTATGAGCAGATCGACTTAGTGAGAAAGGTGCAGCCAGCCATAGTGGTAATGAACCCTTGCTGTGAGGCGCTCGCCCAGGGAAACAAAAGAGGCCTGAAGCAACTTAATATTTTCCCTCTGCTTCCAGACATTGAGCACGCTGACCCGCCTCAGTTGGGACCAAGCCCAGGATGCACCTGGACTGGGTTTAATCCTCAAATTAGATGCTATAAAAGAAAGAGGTGGGAAAGGAGGGGCCCGCATAGGAGTATGGGAGAGGAGAGCCCGAGAGCCCCCCTGCTCCCTGCCCCTGGGCAGAGCCAGAGTACAGATCACGTAGCTGCCCCTTTAAAGTTTCATGTAGGGCTGTAATGCTAGCCTGCTGCTCCCTTTCCCCCCATCCCGGGCCCCCCCTCCTCTCCCATCCTTCCCCAAAGGACTATGGGCAAGATGGGTTTCAGGATGAGATGGCAGGGGTGTGGACCAGTGCCACCCCACTAGGAGACCTAGGATGAGGCTTGGTGCCTCTGTCTTCCTGGCTGGGTGGCTGCTGTGCTGGGGGTGAGGTAACTACAGTTAGAAGCATTCACTGCTCAACGCTCTCATCCTAGGAGCACGAGGGAGCACCACTGTCCAAGGAGCTCCAGGGGGCTTGAACACAGACTTCAGGTCAAACAGATGTGTGTGGGCTTTGAGGACTGAATGTGACGCGGTGTAGGCTGTGATAGCTGGCCCCTGTGGCAGCTACCATTATAATTGTACAGAGAGGGAAACTGAGGCCTGGAGTGGGGAAGTGGTTTGCATCATGACATGTGTCAGTGAAAAAAAGCCCCTCTTGGACTCTGCCCATCTCTTCACCCACTCCTGCCAGGCTGGCTGGAAGTAGCAGATGGAAAAGGGGAATTGGAATTGAGCAGGCCTGGGTGCTAATCCTGACCCGCCATTTTCCTGTCTGTGCCTCTGTGTCTTCTGTGTAATGGGGGACCGGTAACTGCTCAGACCTCAGTTCAAGGAAAGGCCAAACAGGTATAATGGCTGTCCCAGCCAGGGGTGGGGGCATGCAGAGAGAAAGGGCTTGGGAAAAGTGTTCCCAGTGCCCACAGGGAAGTCCAGGGGGGTGAAGGGTCAGCCCCTGAAGGACAGACCCGGTAAGGGGACTTAGGGCTGTAGGCCCAGCCTTTGTCAGCCAGCCAGGGGTAGTCATTGCAGCCCCCCATCAGGAAGACAGCCTCCTTCGGGGAGACTGGAGTGTGGGTCTCAGGCCTGGCCCAGCCACTGCCGGGAGCCATGCTCCTCTGTAGTCCACTTAGTTCTGCCACCAGAGCTTGCGGAACCCTGCTCAATCTCGATTCCCTCTTCATGAAGTGGAGAAAGAAATGGCTGCCTTGCAGGGTGCTTGTGAAGGTTGAAGGAGGTCATGAGTGGGGCAGCTAGCCTGGCACGTGCTCTGCAGGGGTGAAGGGAGCCCCCGAACTCTAACCCTGAGCTGCAGCCCCGCCTTGGGAGGACCAGCCGTGCGCTGCAGGCGTAGTCTTGGAGAGGTCAGTCGCAGAAACCATCTGGTTCTGTGGGTTTCCAACTGGATTCCCTTGTATCTATAGCAAAGAGGAGGTGCAGACACGCAAGGTTCCAGGTTCCACGCTCACTTCAGACTGAACAGGCCTGCTTTCATCTGCTAATCTTATTTAAGAAAGGATCCTGGGGGCCCTCCCTGGTGGCGCAGCGGGTTAAAGCACAGCACTGAGAATCTAAAGCCACTTCCTCATGAGTTCGATTCCCGCCTGCCCCGGAGGTGACCACATAGCGTGGCAGACCTCTCCTGGCCCGCCCGCTGCTCCCCTCAGCAGTGTACTTCGTCGATCTGCCTGTTCTGCTCCCCACTCTGTCTCTGGTGAAGCCTCTCACCGCCCCTGAGCCTCTGGCCTGTACCCCAGTTCTGTATGCACAAATAAATAAATCTTAAAAGAAAAAAAAAAGAAAGGATCCTGTTGCTTCCAGTTTAAAATCCACTTTGACCTAAATGACTTACCATGTAGATGGGCAAAACTGAAGCCAGAGAGACATTCAGGAAAACATCCTGGGTGTCTTATGGGGTGGGGTGGAGGCATCTGGTTCGGGGTGCCCGCCGCCAGCCCTCACCTGTGGTTGTCTTTTCAGCCCCCACCATGCCGTGGCCCCTGCTGCTGCCCCTGCTGCTGCTGGCTGTCAGTGGGGCCCAAACAACCCGGCCATGCTTTCCAGGATGCCAGTGTGAGGTGGAGACCTTCGGCCTCTTTGACAGCTTCAGCCTGACGCGAGTGGATTGCAGTGGCCTGGGCCCTCACATAGTGCCCGTGCCCATCCCTCTGGACACAGCCCATCTGGACCTCTCCTCCAACCGGCTGGAGACGGTGAACGAGTCAGTGTTGGCCGGGCCGGGCTACACCACGCTGGCTGGCCTGGATCTCAGCCACAACCTGCTCACCAGCATCTCACCCACAGCCTTCTCCCGCCTTCGCTACCTGGAGTCGCTCGATCTCAGCCACAATGGCCTGGCAGCCCTGCCAGCTGACAGCTTCGCCAGCTCACCCCTGAGCGACGTGAACCTTAGCCACAACCGGCTCCGGGAGGTCTCTGTGTCTGCCTTCACTCCCCACAGCCAGGGCAGGGCACTGCACGTGGACCTCTCTCACAACCTCATCCACCGCCTCGTGCGCCACCCCGGGCAGGCCAGCCTGCCCCCACCCACCATTCAGAGCCTGAACCTGGCCTGGAACCGGCTCCACACCGTGCCCAACCTTCGGGACTTACCCCTGCGCTACCTGAGCCTAGACGGGAACCCGCTGACCGCAGTAGGCCCACGTGCCTTTGCGGGGCTGACTGGCCTCACGCACCTGTCACTGGGCAGCCTGCAGGGTCACCCCCAGCTGGAACCCTATGGCTTCCATGAGCTGCAAAGCCTGCAAGTCTTGGACTTGTCAGGCAACCCCAAGCTCAAGTGGGCAGGTGCTGAGGTCTTCTCGGGCCTGGGCTCCCTGCAGGAGCTGGACCTGTCGGGCACCGGCATGGTGCCTCTGCCTGAGATGCTGCTCCCTCACCTCCCAGCGCTGCAGCACATCAGTGTGGGCCAGGGCGTGCGGTGCCGGCGCCTGGTACGGGAGGGCACCTACCCCCGGCAGCCTGGCTCCAGCCCCAAGGTGGCCCTGCACTGCATAGACACCCAGGAATCTGCTCCCAGAGGTCCCAACATCTTGTGACGAATGGCATGGCCTGGGGCCACACGCTAGACTGCCTCCCTGGGCTTACTTGGGTCCTGGATAATTTATATTTAATGTGCCAATGCCAGTTTGGACTCTGTGGGCCTGTGTGGCGGCATCATCACCAGAGCTGTGGACCTGGGAAGAGGCTTTGGACCTGGGACCTACACCCTGGGGCATAGTTCGCCACTTTGTCTATGTTGCCTCCCAGCCATAAGCAGAGGGTACTCGATGCCAAAACAGAAAGAAGCCCCCTGCTCCCTTCCTTTCTTGTCCCCAAAGTGCCTTCCCTCAGGCTTGGGCACCTGCCAGGAGGAGGCCCTGCGGGAGGTTCTGCTGCAGGGCAGGGGTCAGGTCCATAGCCGAGCGCCCCCGTGGGCCCATGGTCCAGCCACTCAGGGGCATGGTTTCTGTTAATGACACAGCCTGCTCTTTGCTCTGGGCATGTGAGGCCTGTTTCATCCTCTTCTCTTCCCCTAGAGCCCTAGGTAGACGTTTAATTATAGGAAAAACTGGAGAGAAAAAGTCCACCTTCTCACGTGACACCTGAAGAAACAGACCTAGAGAAGGAACAGTGATAACCTGAGGCACTGCAGCGCTGACGAGGCAGCGTCCTGCACCCAGCTGGGGCCCTTCCTCTCCCCTTTCTGGGCTCCCCACATCCTACTGTTTGTACCCTATAGCACAGGGAGCAGGACAAGCAGGGGCTGGTCTGGGTGGCTTAGATGGGGTTATCACCTGTCAGAGCCTCTGGAAACTTCAGGCTTTGGACTCAGCTTGACCTGTTTCCCATTCTGGGATGGGGTCCTTAGACTGGAAATGCACCCATGATCCCTTGAGGTACTTACTGCCTTTGGGTGCTCTCCTAAAGAGCCGATGAGGTCCTGGAACCCCACTGGCATTAAGTCCTGGTTTCAGCCCCCACGGGCCCTGAGCCCCAGAGGGCCCACAGCACATCTCACCCTGCTGAGAACACAGAGGAAGGAGGCAGGGCACCCCAAACCCATGTTTGTGCTCTACGCTCGCAGCTGCATCTCCACTTTCCAGCCCTGGGCTCTTTCCTTAGTCTTCATTTTGTAAAAGTTGTTGCCTTTTTAATAGATTGTCACTTTCAACCAACACCCCACCCCTGCTGGCAAGGGATGGAAACATGTCATTTGTAAATAAAAAAAAAGTTGCATTTGTTCACTTTTGTCATGCTGTGTCCCGGGATGTGTAGGGCGAGGAGGTGCTGGCAGGGAGCCAGCCGGCAGCAGTCATGTGGGCATCGGGCTGGTCCCACAGATTCACCCGTGGACAATGAGAGCTCTGTCCTCCCCCACTGCCCCCACCCGCCATTTAACCGTCCTTGATTTAATCAATACTATAGAGTCCCTCTTTCTATCATTTGATCAGATTCCACCAACATTCCCTGGATGGGCTCTGTCCTGGGCAACCGCACCCTGAGAAGCCCAGTGACCTTTTAATCTTGGGGGAGTGAGGTAACAGGAGTTATTCAGGTTATTTCTTGCAGCTTGTGCCTTGTCCACCTTCATCTCCCTTCTTCTGCCCCTCCAACTCCACGAACTCATCAGGCCCTTGCATACCTCCACCCTGCTCAGGCTGTCCCTCTGGGCTCTTGCGCTTGCTCCCTGGGTCAACTGAGAACCCAGGACATTCAGCCCACAGGTATGGGTGGGAAGCTTGCCCAGCTTGTCACCAGCTCTCCCCACAACACCATTGTCTGGGGACCTGGGCTGGCACCCATGGGTGAATATGGGATGGGAAGAGGCATGGGAGGGGGGTGTCAGGGTGAGGCTCAGCCCTTACAACCCACAGCTGGTTCTTAACCCTTCCACTCCCTGGGAAGAGAGACTTCACCTGCTGGAGCTGCAGAGAGATACCTGGGAATTTCACCAAGTAAGGTTTGAGCCACCCCTCCCCCCCCAAAGCTCCACTTGAAGAAGGAGCCCTTGGGGAAGGCGCATAGGCATCTTAAGCACAGGGACAAAGCAGTGCTGGACACAGGAGAGGAGAGGCTATCGCTCCAGCAGAAAACCACTGAGCCCTAAGGCAGCTTGCACATGTGCCAAGCGGCAGAGGTAAATGTCCAGCAGGAGGTCTGGCCAGGACCAGCCACCCTGCCGGCTCCTCCTTCCTTTGGGGCGTCACCCTTCTTCCTCCACTTTAGCCTGCCTCCAGCTGCCCTAGGGAAGAGCAGAAGCCCCGCCCGGCGCGGTCTTGGCGATCCGGGCAGGGGTGAAGGCAGGGTTTTGGGGGCGTCCGAGGGCCCCTGTGCTCGGCTGAGGAGACGCCCAGCTCCCAGCGCCGCCTCGTGGTCGCGCACGGCCAGACGCGCTATCCCTCTGGCTTGGCCTGACTGCCTTTGTCCTGCCTGCTCACCCACTCCTGAAATCCCGGGGCCAGAAGAGGGCACTAGAATCTTGCGAAATTATAGAAAACAGCGCAGTGGTTCTGTTTTACACAGAAAAGAGTTAAAGTCCTAGATCCATCACGAATCAGTTGTAGGCCTTTGGTCAAGCCACTTTAAACCCTCTGAGCCTGGAAAGTGGGGTTGATATGTTTTCCACAGAATCAAGTACAGTGCCTGGCACACAGTAGACTCCAGAACTGCTCCCGTCCTCATTGCGTAGAATGAAATAGAATTAGGAAATAGATTTCAAAGCCATGTCCCCTTAGACTCATTCTGACCACTGGCTGGGAACTGAAGACTTAGTGAAAGCTTAGGGTTGTTCTGTGGCTCACAATACTAGACTCCACAGGAATTTTGCTCTGTGTGCCTAACGCGGGCTAGGCTTTTATGCCTTTTCAGTTGTAATTCAGAGGTGGAGCGACAACTCAGGCAGTTTGCCATGGTGGGCCCCATCTGGGGCACAAATATTTCCATGTGTCTTATTATTAACTTAACTGCGGTTTACTGGGCATGTGTTTCTTAGACTTGGCACACTTTTACATCCTCCCACAACCACTGCCTCAGGTACTGGCACCTTACAGAGGAGAACCATCTTGGACCTGGCTTCATCTCTCAGACATGAGCCCCTCACTCTTGCCAGTCCTGTCTCAGTGGCCCGGGCCAGCTGTGCCCATGTCACCGAGGGCAGAGGAGGTCTGAGAAACCAAAAGCCACTAGACTCCATCTAATCCTCGTTGAAAATAGGGAATGCTGTATAGCTCTAGCTATTCATAATCAGCCCACTAATGATAAAGCTCAAAGTCAAAAGGTCTTCCTCTCCTGCCGCCAGTTCACAGATGGGTACAATGTGGCCCAGGAGGAGCAACTCAAGGTCACATGGTCAGCAGGCAGGATTTTGTGCTTCAGAACTGCACTTATTATTTCTGAGATCTCTATAAAGTGAAAATGGTGGGTCGCTAGTTAAAAAATGATTAGCAGTTTCAAGATGTCAAGAGCAGAGCATGGGATCAAAGTCCTACTGTCAAAAAGCAGAGTCTGGCTGTGCCCGTGTGGATGTGTTACCCAGCCCTTCTGCAGGCCAGAGAGTTGGTTACACTCCTACCCAAGCATTTCCTCCCATGGGTGTTACGACACCATCCTCTCATTCCCCTTACTTGTCTTGATCAAAGAATGTTCAGGAAGAGAAAAGGCAGAGGGAGCAGAGGACACTACCCTCTTCAGCTGCCTTCAGAGATGTTTCTCTGGACCAGACTGCCTGGCATACCTAACATTCAACAAGAAAACAGAGTTTACAGACAATAGCGTCTTGCCCATCCATACTTAGTGTTCCATTCTGGCTAATGTTCACCAGGAAGTTAATTGAAATTATGACTGCTTTGTGCATCAATTCTACTATTAACCGACAAGTTGACATCTGGCTTGGCAAATGGCCCTCCAGTTAAGGCACGTGGTCTGTGTTTATTCTTTTAGTCATTTATCTAGCAACGGTTGTCTTTATGGAGATTATTGTGTTTGTTAATATTAGCAGAAAATTCTTCCTATGTTTACTGTTTAATCACAAAGTTACTTATTATTTCATTCTGTATAACCATGAGATAGTCAAAATGCTCATAGGAACATACCAGATATTTGTGTTTCTTGATATATATACATCTATGTGTATGGAATGTGTACATATCATTGCATACATTATACAATAAGACAGAAAAAAGAGAAACTGGTTAAAGACAAAAGTGTCAACTAATTTTCTAAATGGCTGACTTGTAGAAGCAACATTTTGCATTAATGATTAAAGGCATCAGCCCATCCTGTTCAGACAGAGAAATGGAATAATACTTCAGCTAAAAAAAATCAAGTTACCTAACAACTTAAATGCCCCAAAACAGATGAATGGATCCAGAAGATGTGGTATATGCACAATGGAAAACTACTCAGCAATCAAAGCAGATAAACTCATGCCATTTGCAGCAATATGGGTGGAGCTGGAAGGGATTATGCTGAGCGAAATAAGTCAGAAGGAAAAAGATAAATATCGGGTGGTTTCACTTATATGCGGAATATAGAGAAGTCAAACAAAGAGTCAGGATAAAACCAAAATTGCAAGCTAGTCATAGATCTGAGGCATGCAACAGGGAGGAGGAGAGAGAGGGGTCAAAACACAGGAGGAAGCACGAGGGGCTGCGGTGAGGGATCGTGGAGTCGGTACTGTTAGGAGTCGGTACTGAAGGGAGAAACCAAGATAGTATCCAAAAATTAGGACTGATGTAAGAAAATAAATATTTAAAAAATATATATTTAAAAAAAATTTTTTAAAATATTTTAAAATTCAAGTAACCCCCCAACCAAATTCCCAGAGCTAAGGGAATTTGCAAGGGCTTCTTGAGGCGATGCAACTGGTGGCTAAGACAGGCTCCGAAGTCAGGCTGCCGGTGCTCAAAACCAGGTCTGCCGCTCAATAGCTGTGGGGCCTGGGGTAAGCGACCTCTCTTGGAGCCTCAGTTTCCACATCTGTAAAATGGAGATAGCAGCTACCTCCCAGAGTTGTTGAGGAGAATAAGTAAGTCAGTGTGCAGAAAACACTTAGAGCCTGGTAAATATAAATGCCATTTAATAAATAATATGAAATACTATTTTATGCAAAATGCTTTTGTCAAACTGGTAAGTAAGCTGTGGCTCAAAATCCTCTCAGGCAGGGTTTCTTCAATCTTGATTCCATCTTGCAGGTGGTATTTTGGAAGCTGTTATGCTTGAGAATTTGTCTGAAAAGAGGTTCCACCCTTCCCACCAGAACATTTCAAATCTGCCCCACCAGACAGCTCCCTTCTGACCCAACACTTACAAGGACCCAGTCAGGAACTGTCGAGAGGAAATGAGTGATCTGCGGTGTCTGGAGATGGAGGAAAATCTCTCACTTGCCTCACTCTCCCAGACAGAGCTTGACTCCATGAGGAATCCCACTTTGGCTCTTGACTGAAACTGCAATTGTTGCCCGGAATTCTTGCGGTTGGGCAGGGCGCCAGGACAGCAAGATTGGCTGGGACGAAGTTGAGCGTCTGTGTGGGTGCAGGGCATTCATTCACTAATGGGGGGCAAGGGGTACCTAACCACTTTCTTAAAATTGTGGTACACCCTCAACATTGTTTGTAAGGTGCCATGTAAATATGACAGTTACTACAATAATGATGTTGGGGGTGGGGTAGGGTGAGCAAAATGGAGGAGGAGGTCAGAAGATGCAAACTTCCAGCTATGAATAAATAAGTCACAAGGATGTAATATACAGCACAGTGACTGTAGTTAATAATATTTAAAACGTGCTAAGAGAGGCCTTACAAGTTCTTGTCACACACAAAACAGTGTAACTCTGTGTGGTGATAGATGTCACTTAAACTTACTGCACTGATTATTTCACAATACAGTTGCCCTTGAACAAGACAGTTTTGAATGGTGCAAATCCAATTCAATGAAGATTTTCTTGTAAACAGACACCATAAACTTACAGTGTCGATAATACTGTATAGTGCTTCAAAGTGTATTTTCTCTTGCTTGTGATTGTCTTTAAAAAAAAAAAAAGTTATTTATTTATTTATACATACAAGAGCTGGGATATAGGCCAAAGGAGGTGAAAAGATTCACCAGAGACGAGTGGGGGGTACAGTAGGCAGAGCCACTGAATACCCTGCTGAGAGGAGCAGCAGGAGAGATAGGAGAGGTCTGCTGCACTAGGTGGGTCAGCTC